TCGCCCAGCTCTGATTTTCTTTGCTTGGCTGTCTCCTGTGTCTCTGTAGTCTAGTTAATGCGCTTCCCAATGGCTGGAGTCAATGGGTTTCTGGGTTTCTGGCACTGTCTGATCTTAGGACAGTTCTCTGCATACAAGAAATGCTAGCATTTGATGGGTCTGTATTTTTTTCCACCAGACTTTGTTCATAGTTCTCAGATAATAATTCCTAGGCATCAGCCTCAGAAAGCCTACTTGAATAGGTTGGAAGTGGGTCTCTAGAATTTGGTGGTGTTTTTGCAAGTGTCCAAGTGATCCTGAGGCTTAAAAGTTATCTACGGGCCAGCAGATGGCATAATGGCTATGTTGCTGGACTCCCATGAAGTCGACCACGGTTCGAGTCCTGGACCCAGTGACTTAAACTCACGCCAGGCGCATGTGCGTGTGTGCCCAAGATCCCAAGAGGAGAATAAAGGAGAAGGGATTGTGGCATGGCCATTCCCCCTGGAGGGTGATTTCTCACTTTCTATCCATCTCTGTCTTTTTGGCAAGTGCATGCGCCCTATAGCAAAAACCTCTCCAAGAAAAAAAAAAAAGTTAGTTACCTAGGATGGATGATTGTGACTCTAGCCACTATTTAAGTCTCCCTAGGAATACACCAAAAGAAAGAGCAGTTATCTGAAAGATCCAATTATATCAGTTTGAATCTTCTCATTCTTCTAGGGTTTGCAGGATCCCTGACTGTCACTGATTAAAGCTTGGACTTTTCTTTTCTTAAAGGTATTATGCTGGCTGGGCTGATAAATACCATGGGAAAACCATTCCCATCGATGGGGACTTCTTCAGCTATACCCGCCATGAACCCGTGGGGGTGTGTGGGCAGATCATTCCGGTGAGTGACCGCCTATCCAAAGGTTTATCAAGAAGGCCATGAGATTTGGCTGTCTCAGACTGGGTTGTTGCCAAGGTCGAGGTTTTTTTTTTGTTTGTTTGTTTTTGTTTTTAAGAATTATTTTTATTTCTTCTTTCTTCTCTTTCTTTCCTTCCTTCTTTTCCTTCTCTCCCTTTCTTTTCCTTCCTTCCCTCCCTCCTTCCCTCTCTCTTTCTTTCTTTCTTTCTTTAAATTTGACTAGATAGGGACAGAGTAAGGGGTCAGGGGAGTGAGAAAGCAAGCCTCCAGGACCAGGACTTTAATCATAGTCAGCCATGTAGGAGTCCAGCGCCTGTAACCACCATGCCACTTGAGGCAAGGTGGAAGTTCTGTGGGTAGTGGTTGAGAACGTGGGCTTTGAGGAAGCCATCCTGGGTTTAATTCCAAACCTTTCCACTTGCCAGTTCCATGACCTTGGACAAGTCACGTGTCCCTCTAAGACTCAGTTTCCTCATCTGAAAAGTGGAAATGATCATAATGTCTATTTTAGGGAGGTCCCAAGAAGGGCTTAGCATGGTCTCTAGTACATAAAAGCACTAGTAAGTGGAGTGGCTTGGCTGTTATCACCCAGGGCCTGCTTCATTTGTCTTAAATTTATGATCAAGTTGCTGGGGGACACACAGGATTCAGGGAATGCGGTGTTCTCCAAGGCCACTTTCTCCTCTCTGGTGTGGCTCTCTGGGGAAGGCTTGGATTTCAGGAGCAGCTGTTGTTTGTTGTAGTGGAACTTCCCCCTCCTGATGCAAGCGTGGAAACTGGGCCCAGCCTTGGCGACTGGAAATGTGGTTGTGATGAAAGTAGCTGAGCAGACGCCCCTCACCGCCCTGTATGTGGCCAACCTGATCAAGGAGGTATGTGTCTTATGTCCATCTTGACCTCTAAATGCACTTGTGTAGGCTTGCTCTAAAGGGGTCCTCAGGAGGTACCCCCAAATGCGGGAAAGGGGGTTGTGGTGCCCCACCATCACCATGCTTGAACCAATGTGCTTCCTTCCTCCCCATTTCCTACATTAAGCTTCACTGCAAAATCACAGTGAACAAGTGAACAGTGAAAACATTGTTCTCAGTGACTGTTGTAGGGAGGGGAGCAATAGCCACAGGCAACCCCAGGAAATGGCCTTTGTGTTCATTCCATTGAGAATTCTTGTGCAGTGCCCCTAAATTGACTTCTGCTTATGGGTGTCCTTAGTACATTGCCTTTGCCTCTCACAAAAGGGGTGTACTTTCCTTGCTCAGGCTCTTTGGTGCAGAAGGATGACCCACCTGTCCCCTGGCTCTTTGCCCATAGGCCGGCTTTCCCCCTGGCGTGGTCAATATTGTTCCTGGATTTGGTCCTACTGCCGGGGCTGCTATCGCCTCCCATGATGATGTGGACAAGGTGGCGTTCACAGGCTCCACTGAGGTAAAGCATCCCTGTCCCCTGAGCTTGCATGGCACTTGGCTCAGGCTACTGCACTCAAAGGATGACACATCCGAGATGAGCTGCTGGTATCATGGGTAGAGTCCCTGCCCCCAGGACTCACCTCATAGCTAAAGTAAGGAACCCTGCTCATGCCAGGAGTGATGGAGCAGGGTGCTCCTCCTGGGGTCTGATTGCCGTGGGTGGGGGCTGGTACCCTGTGCAAGGAGGCCAGCACTGAGTAGACTTCACAGAGCCCAGAGTTGACCACCTTCCCAAAGTCAAAGCTCCTTAGTCATGTTAGGCTCCTTGACCGGCACTGTCATTCTGGTTAAAGACTGTGGGCTTCAGTAGAACATGAGTTCAAATCCTGACTTTGCCATTATGATGTGAGGTTATTCACCGAATGTCTTTGAAGCCCTATTAATATTCTATAAAATGAAGATGGCAATATCTTTGTGGTAGAGACAGGAAGAGCCACGCAGTGGAGAAGACAATGAGCTCTGGAGTCAGAGTAGCTGTTTGAGCAGCACTTAGCTGTGTGACCTTGGGCAAGTCACTTAGGCTTCCGCAGCTTTCATTTTTCCATCTGTAAAATGGGGATAATAACCACCATGCCCACAGGGTTGGAGTGAGTGTGACTGACATGAAGCCTGTGGAGTTACCCAGAATGTCTGCTCGGTAAGTGAATAAATGAATGAATGAGTATTGTTAGGTTGCTCATGCCAGGCACCAAAGAGACAGAGACAAATTGAGATAATCTGGTGATTCCTTAAATATAATCTCCTTGGGAACAGGGAGGAAATTCCTTCTAAAGAGGTGCACTTCTTGTCCCTGAAAACTTGGAAGGCTTCTTCACATGATGACCAAGAAGGAGCACTACGTAATGAAACACTTCCAGCTGCGTGGAATAAAGACACCCTAAAGCATTCAGTCTGCATGTTGCAATGGCGGCTCTGGGAATGCAGAGTAGTGGCTGCGACCATGTGTCAGTTCTTGCTTTGCTTAGTCTCCCCCAGATTTAATGCTAATAAATGATGCTGAGAACCTCCCAGAGGGGATGTTTTCCTGACGTGGATACATGTATTCATTCAACCAAGAACTCCAGGGGCAGCTGTGTGCCAGGCTTAGGAGTATAGCGGGCACTATCCTTTCCTTCCCAGAGTGCACCGCATGCTGTGAACCACTCAGACACCATGTCTGGATAGGTCTGAACCAGTGCAAGCAGCAGGCTGCCCCAGTGTGAATTCTGATCCCACACTGGCCAGCTGTGTGACCTTGGGCAAGTGACTCGGCTACTCTGAGCCTCAGCTGCCACATTTTAAAGTCAAGAAGAGTTGCCCTTCCTCCGAGGTGATTGTGAGGATTGAACTGAGTGCACACAAAGCTGTCGGCACAGTCCCTGATGTGGAGGTGGCCCTTGGCGTGTAGAAGCCACATGACAACTCAGCTCATACTGTTATTGTCGTTGGTGTCCTAGATGCTCGATGAGAGGGGCAGTGATGGTATGTGAATGGCTAGATATGGTGACATTCTTGAGGTTTCTTGTAATCTAGCTACATCCCCAATTTGTGGAGTCCTGCGCTCAGGGTCCATGGAGAGTATTTGGTTCCCCCTCACAGCCCCACTGAGAGCTTGTCCCCATTTCTTCATCCCTGCAGGTCGGCCACCTCATCCAGATTGCTGCAGGGAAGAGTAATCTCAAGAGGGTGACGCTGGAGCTGGGGGGCAAGAGCCCCAACATAATCATGTCGGACGCTGACAGTGAGTGGGGGGGGGGGGGCCCCCGCACGGCACGGGC